TTTATGGAAAGTTTCGTCAAGATCGGATGTACGGTGTCGGAGATAATTTCTGAGGGGGAGGCCTTAAGAACTGAAAAGATTTATTTTTGCTACAGCCATTATGCACTTCAGCGAAAATAAAACATCTGTGAAATACACAAATAAAGAGTTTAACGTAAGAGTAAGTAACCCTGAACTTATCATAACCTAAGAAGCCTCTATTAATTAACTGTCATGGTGCAATTACAGCACTGTGCATTCGCTACTTTAGATTTATAGGTGCATACAGTGGCTCCAAAGAAAAAGGGTTTTAAAACCTGTTTGCCTGCTCTACACCAATTGGCTCGTCTACATGTGACTGTAATAATAAACTCAATTTTGAAAATGGTTTAAGCTTGCACATAGAATATCGATGATGCTCTACAAGATCATTTGCCCAAGCTCCCTATCTTGTTTCGTTTTGAAATGGTACACAAAACAAAGTCATACGGTATAAGTAGAGGAATAATTTTTCGAGTCACTGTATATGTGATCATAATAAGGTCTCTACGTGGTTCATTATCAATACATACAGATACATCATATACTTACTCTATATGTGCGATCAGCTGTTAATTAAATCATACAGCATGACACTATTTGTGCAATAATTAAATGAGAAGTTGGAAAAATCCTTTCAAAAGGTTCATCAGAATTACTTGGTTATCTGATTCATCCTTGTTCCAAATCTCTGCAATGCATAATGACTGAGAAAAATTGACACAAAAGTATTATAAAAGGCGTCAAAATGAAAGAAGAATATTGCTAGGCAACGGCGGTAGTGAAAAGTAGTCAAGATATCGAAGCACATTTCAAGAAATTAACAACGTTTGGTGAAAAGTAATTTTCGGTTTTTCCGAGCTGATTCCGACTCTGATCGAACCCTGGTAAAACTGCATAGCTAATTCAGCTTTACGTACCGATCTGATCGTTGACTAGTGATATTGCAGATTCAGAGAAAATCTTCATGAATATTTCTTCGATCCAAAACTTATTATATTACACATGGTTCGATGCAGCTCAACGAACTGATTTCGAATATCACATGGGTTTTGCTTTAAAAATAGAAAAATAGAATTTTACATCCTAACCATGATTTTCTATAAAAAATTTTCTATATTTCAGAAATGAAACAAATATGCATCGGTATGCTAATTTTATAGATGTTTTCATACATTAAAAAAGATATATGCAAAGTTTGAATAAGATTGATTGAAGCTGAGGAAACACATTGCAACGCAATCCTTTTTTTTTGGAAAACGTGCTTCTCGTTTAACTTATGTTTTCGACGTCCTAATTTGTCTTTGAAACATTACGAGATTTTGAGATCGTGTTCTTTTTATATTGTCTGCACAACTTACTCTGTTTGTTTGATACACATCATCAACGTCTAGATATCTACACTGTATAAAAAAAAATGAGTAGCTGAAAAGGACGATTTCTGTTTCCCAGGCTATTTTTCGTTGAGCGGTTTCAAAATGGTACACTGAGGAATACTTTTTGACAGTATTCTTTTCTAGAATACTTTTAGTACTTCAGCTCGGCGTTTCTAAATGTGACCTTTTTAAAAAGTATTCTATTGTAAATCATTTTTCAAAAGTGTACCTCTGTTGCCTATTTTAAAAGGGATCTTTCTGGAAAATGTTCAGCGGACAAACGTTCCTAAAAAGGGCAGTTTTGGGTATACTTTTTTTAGGGTGTATAATTAAGTTAAAAACAAAATACATCTCTATTTTCTACATATCTCTTTTCATCATTTCTTTTTACGTAGTAAAAAAGTAACATTTTAGTGTGTATATTTCTGTTCAGCATTTCATATTTTAGATCTAACGTGGCTTTTTTGACAAGATTTTGGAGTGGAATGCCTAACGGACACCTTTTTCTAGAATATTCACAAATAACGTTCGCTTTGTACAGTTTAATCACTATTTTCATTAATTTTTTCTCTATACTATGTACAGTAAAAGAATTTTTTTCTTTCTTTTGTATATGACAATTTTACTCGGTTGTGCCTTTTAACTGAAGTTTTGAGAATAGATATTATCGAGAAGATGAAGTCAGTAGCGATAATAATTAATCATTATAATGTTATCTCTGTAGTTATTTACGCGTGCTATTATTATTTATTAACCTATACCTCACTTCTCATTTTTTTTTCCTAAGAATATGTGTCTTCGACATAAGAAGTATTTTCTTGTCGACCGAGGTTATATAACAACTATGAATGATATGACGAACGACGATTTTTTTTAATTTCATCATTCAAGGTCTACATGTCAGCTAGCAGGTAACCTTTTGAATTATGTACGATCAACACATCATTTATGGACCAATTTCTACTGATCATTTATCTCTCTCAAATACTATCCATCCCTATTTCCTATCTAAAGTTAAATTTATCGCTAAATAATATTGTACATAGGAAAAGAGAGAGAGAGAAATATTTTGTTTCATTAATAAAAAAAGAAATATATTTCGATCATCGATTACTACTAAAAATCATCATCAGGGTTATGACTTCTAACATGAAAGAAAAGAGAGTATATTGAATGGGTTGTAGTAATATAAAACATGGAAGAAAATAGAAGAATAAAATCTATAATGGCCTAAAAATAGACGGACAAGCGGGAGATTATAAGAATATGAAGAAGGAAATTACTGCTTGAAAATAGACTTATTAAAATATTTTTTAGGGCAATCAATACAAAAAATAAGTAGAAAATAATATCCTCATTTTCTTCTAGAGAAAATGTATATGAGGTACAATATTTCTAGCACTATTTTAAGTACAAAAAGACTAAAATTAGTATGGTTATCATAATGAGATGACACAGAATGAGTGGGCAGTTCTATAATAACTTTAGTTACAAAAAAAAAAACAAAGTACTTTTAATATCAGTTTTTTTTCTATATTTTGAAAAGATTTTCCATTTGTTACAATCCGAAATCTTTTTCTTTATTTGCAATAATCAAAAAAATCAAGAGATCAAATCTTTTATCTACGATTTGAGTATATTTTTCTTTTACAAGATGATATTTCAAGTCGTGGTGTGTATCATGACACTCATGATTAATATGGAAAGAAATGTTTAATCTATCTCTCTGTTCTTCTATCGCTGACATGACATAGATAGGTCTATAGCACACACTATCAGTATCTAGTAGAAATGTTTACTGATTACATTAGAAAGCACCTTTTTTTTTTTTATTATTATCAAGTTATGATGAGCGTCTGTATTTCGTCTCCTTGACAAGTCGAGGAGAGTAATAAAAAGAAAATTCAATTCAACATTCATGTCCTTGTAAACGCTGTCTATGTTTTTTGTAAGATATTATGCATGATAGAGTAGAGTGTCTCGCCAACGGGGGCTTAATTATTTATAACTATATTTTATCACCCTCAAAAAGTTTCTGACTATATATTTATTTCTATAGCCTTGAAAATTGCGCGACCGGTTCTTTTTTTTTTTTTTTTTTTTTTTTGTTATCTTCTATATATGATTTCAAATTGAATGCGACAATAGAGCGAATGATATATTCAGTGCTCATTAAATAAGAAACGATAGTTGTTTTTTTTCTTTTCTTCTTATATTAAAGTGGAATAGTTATTGATGACTGTGCTACTAATCCCTTATTTCTTATGTTTATTATACCCATAGAGAGTCATTTGCTTGGAAATTTTTTTCAACATTCTTTTTACTTTTTTGAACATATATATCACACATCTATACTCATACACTGGTGTTAATCGAGTACATTAAATCTTAATAGTTTTATAAAAGAAAGATGCCTTTCTTTATTTCTTTTTCGTTACTAGTAGTTTATTATTAATGGATAGTAACATGATATTTGATGTGAAAAAATCTATTTCAAAAAATAAGACGACTTTTCGCTTTGCTGATCTATATATGACATTTGGAATTTTTTCTTAAAATATTTTTAACATTAAATTAGAATATATGTGCAGGTAGAGAGAAGAAAAAAAAAAATTTTAGTAAAAAAAACTTAGATTTCCCTTGTCATGCACAAGGACTTTTTCTTTTTCTTCAATAATATCATCTGTCATAGAATACGTTTAATATTTCGCAAAAAAAAATTTATGCACATCATAATTTTTCATTTTGCCACGAACAACAATTTATTATAATAGTCATGAACGTGCTGTTCTATATAAAAGAAGATGATAAGCATTGATTTTATACGCTTCGAGCTATATATATACGTGAATCAAATTAGTGTAGATGAACACACGCCGAAGAATATAAATTACTAGGAAAAAAGAGAAATAATTTTCGTTCTATATTATTACCTTCTAAGAATTTTCAATTTACTATCGTTTATTAGACAAATATGCAAAAAGGTAAAGAAATAGGAAGCTTTTAAGAGATTTTAATTGTAACTGATTTTATAATACTTCAGAGTTATTATTTCTAAGATATAAAACGGAAAATAGTTAAAATGAGTATGTTTTATACGATTTTTTATTCTGTTTTCACTAATAGATAAATTAATGGACAAACTATAGATCATAATTGAAACAGGCTGCTTGCTATGATCATAAATGTTTATTCATTTATTCTAGAAGTTGTACGTACATTTTAAACTTATTTTAGCATACTTTTGACGCCTGAATAGTAAAAATAAAAGATTTTTTATCTTTTATTTACGATTTTTATCTTTTATTTTCTGTCTCTTGATGAAGAGTCCTTGCTGTGTGAGATAAATTTAACTTAGCTATCGTAATGTGTAGAACTATTTGTGTATATAAAAACTTTTTCTTCTGACGATGTGATTAAGCGTCAATTTTTTGTTAAAATAATTGTATATTATTATACTCGTGATCTATTCATATTTTTCTTTCTTATAAAACATAAAACAATGATTCTTGTCAATTTTTTTAATTTAAACCATACAGATTGCGCAGAAACCATCTTAATCTTGATTATTCAAAGTATTTATTACGACAGATTGATTAATAACAAATGTTTTTCTCTACTCTGTATGGTGTGTCAAGTTCGTTAGCTTCGGGTATTGACCTTAGGTTAGATTTTCTTTCATTTTTCCGAAAATTTTTTTTTTTTAATAATAGATGGCTCGGTGATCTCTTTTTAAAGATAATAACAAAAATTGCAGAAAAAAAAAGGATACTAATCTTCTAAAACATAGATTTCTTTATACATATGTGTTTATTCTCTCTGTTTTGTTCTGCTTCTTGAACAACAACAAAAAGAGTTTGAATAAAAGAAAAATCATTCAAGTGATTAGCTATACTGTTATATTAGATAGTTTTACTCTATTCTAAACAAAACAACAAAAACAACTTAAAATATTATTAGAGATTTACTTTTTACAAATAATATTTTTTCATGCAGAAATAATTTTCTTTCTGTTTTTATTTCTTCATATCTAGAGGTATATTTATACTATTGAAAAATAATTAAGCATGATTTTCATAGTAATATAAAATTAAAATTTGATGTAATTTTCAAAATATTTCTATAAAATAGGGAGAAGATAAGTAATGAAAAAAACAAAACAAAAAAAAAAAGAAACGTATAAATATTGAAAAAATTATTCTTATTACAACTACTAGAGTTAAGATGTAATTTACATGATGTTTTTCAATGAAATAGAGAAGAGTATCAATATTAAGATTAATAATTCTCATTTTTCTATTAGATATTCAATTATCCGTCGTGAAATATTATATCTGAAGTAAGATATAGAGCCAATTCATAAGATATTATTGTTATTTTGTTAGCTATCATCATTATATTTGTCGAACTATTTGGTATTATCGAATACATTATTAGACTCGTAACTAATTGTTAATAATTTTATATTATTATGATAATGTTAATTATTGTCAGATTATTGTTGAATGATAAAAGAAGATTATGAAATATGGATATTAAAAAAACAAGATAAAATTGTTTACAATGATAAATGATTAAAGAAATGATACAAAAAAATATATTGAAAAACTTTTCAAAAATTAAATCAATAAAAATTTCAAAATAGTTTTATTTTCATGAATCGAACAAATCAAATATATTTCTATGATGAAAATTGACAGACAAATGTTTAGAATGTGATAATAAATTGAGAATATTTTTTGATAAAATGTACACTATAGTATTATTGTTTTATTAGTATTCTTTTTATTTTTTATGTACACTAATTATTATTGCTGTGTTACATATTTTGCTACAATTAACTAGGATCTTGTGATGAATGTTCTTCATAGTTGTAGATAATAGAAAGAGATAATTCTAGAGAAAAAAAAAATTAAGAATTAATTAAATTCTGATTGTAGAAGAATGTGGCTCGGAGACAATGTTAGAAAGTTCCCAATTGACAGAAATATACATCCGTTAATAAGTGAATTAACTGAATAAATTTTATCTATCACAAATTGAGTAATAAATGATAATAAAAAATAGTTTCACACGTCGTCTTGTATCTATTCTTATAAATCGGATCAAACTACTAGAGTTATCTTCGGTTTACTAGACTAGCTAGTTATTTTTCTTTCGTTATATATGTCATTTTTTCTATATAAAATAATTTACATTTATTCTCGAGTATTTGTTGTATACACTGGTCCGAAAAAATATGGTTACGTAATCACAATTTGATTTGTTTTTTTGGACTTTAATAAATGTATGTATATTTCGATTGGATTCTTGTCTCTTTCTTTTTCCTGTAGTTAATATCAATTTCTTCTTTTTTTCTTCTATTTCTCACATTTGGTTTTTTTTGATAAAAAAGAAGTGTCATGCAGAGCATATATCTATCTCTCTTTTACTATAGTAAAAGTGAATTATCCTCTCAGAGGCACATCCATCCATCTATCCGTCCATTAGTATAGTTTTATGTTGGAAAGTGAGAAAGAGAGAGAGAAAGCTATTGTTGTGACATTGAAATGAGAAAAAGCGATAAATCGAGCTATTATAAAAATTTAAGATGATAAAAAAGAGAATAACCTGTCATTATGGTTTAGATGCCTCGTAAATAATCAGGTAATATGATGATCACAGCTGAGAGAATTAATTTTTTTCATGATCTTTCACTACCTGAGTGTGTGTGTGTATGCGTGAAGGAAGTGGAGCAATGTCAATTAGAAAGATTTATGATGAAAATATTGATTATGATCTATTCTTCATAGTGTATTCATTCTATTTATTTTAAAACCTAACAATTTTTCATATTTGTATTAAAAATACTTTTTTTAAACCTCTTTCTAGAATTATGAGCAGTTTATGGAAAAATATTACAACAGAACTTAATGAAAACTCATCAGAACCCGTTGTTTGGGGTAGTCTAAGTTTAGTCATTAGTAAGTAATTTGAAATAATTTATAAGTTAAAAATTATTTTTCTACTTATTTTCTAAATTTTTAGTCATTATATCTACAGTATGTGGAAACAGTCTTGTTTGCATCGCTGTTATTCGAGAACGTCAATTAAGAAATACTACCAATTATTTTTTAACATCATTAGCATTTACCGATTGTCTAGTGGCGTGTCTTGTTATGCCACTAGCTGTTATAGTTGAACTAATAGGTATAAATTAAATTAAATTAAATATTAAAAATGCAAAATTTTTGATAATTTACATTGTTTAAAGGACATTTTCCACTTGATTCATTTGCCTGTAATATATGGTTAACATTTGATGTTTGCTGTTCTACATCATCCATTTGGCATATGAGGTAATTCTAAATTATGTTTTAGATTCTTGTCTATTAAATTTATTTCGTATTTCAGTGTAATGTCATTGGATCGTTATCTTACATTACGATATCCGCTCAAATTTGGCAGAAATAAACGTCGAAGTCTCATGGCGTATAAAATCATTACAATTTGGTAAATATTATTTGCCTTTTAGTAATATCTAAACTGATAATATTTTCTCTATATTTAGGTTAATTAGTTTTGCTATTTGTTTACCACTATTTATATTAGGTCAAATAGATTCAACAAATGTCTTTAATAAAGAGAATCGTGCATGTTTTCCACAACATCGTACATTTAAAATCTATGGAAGTATTGTTGCCTTTTTTATACCGTTGATGATTATGATTGTAACATATACATTAACAATGAGCTCTTTACAGCAAGCAGTTAGCACGAAAAAGAAACGTATAAAAGGACGTAATAAAATGGCCTTAGTATTAAATTTAGCTACGATGGCTGTTAGATGGCGACGAGCAGTTAATACCCCAACTGCTGCAAAAAATGAAGAAATACTTGATAATAATAACTTTGAATGTTATCAACATTCATCGCCTGTGGTTGAAAACATTCAGGAACAAATTATACAGCCATCTCAATCAGGCAAACGTCGTGCCTATTCATTACTTCCGAATGATTCTTCTAATAAAACATCTGAAACAGATAAACGTAATTCAATATCAATTAATTATTTAAATAAAAAATTTATTCCAACGCAACAATTGCAAAAATTATTCAGTTATCATGCAAAACCAGCAATACCAGACAATAATGAAGTAACTTTTCCAAGTGAAAGAAGTAAGATTTCATTCATAAGATAACAAAGATTAATTGTTTTAGAATTTTTGTTGATTTAGATAAAAAACACAAACACTTACTTGACGTAGCATCAACTTATCTTGAACAAAAAGCTGGAGGAAAACGATCACATTCGTGTACACAAGATTCATTAAATAGTGAGCTTGAACAAAGAAAAAGACGCAGTTCATCAACCCATACTCTATTACAAATTAGAAGAGACTCTCAGAAAATAGGTGAAGAGTTAGCAAATTTGTGCCAACAAGTATCGTCATTAGCAGACAGAAATTCAATGACAAAATTCTCGACATCTCAGTCAACAGATGAAACACATACATTTCCAATTGACAAAAAAGCTGTGTCATCGGCTCTGGAAACAATAATACCGGATAGCAATTTAAATTTATTATCTGAACAAGAACGTGATCGTGCGTAAGTAAACTAGAATAATCTAAGATACATGTTCTATTTTATTTTTTCTAGACATAGTTTCAATCTGCAAAGTACGAGTACATATGGTGCAGACATTTCTCTGTCACCGTCGAATCAAACATCATCATCAATTCATCCTGTTCTACGCAGACAGGAAAATATTTCGGAAACTAATGCTCTCCCATTATCATCAGTGATTCCAAATGTTCTCATCACTCACGAAATTGAGAATCGAAATAGTCTGTTAAAACGTCGGTTAACTTCACCATCGCCATTAGTTCAAAAATCGAATGTAAAAATGGCATGCCGAAAACTATGTGATTGGATAACTGTCACTTCTGATGGTGATCGACCATTTCATTCAATAAATAATTTGACTGAACAAACACCGATCATGAACAAAAAGGATTCTGTTCCACCATTAAGTCTCTCATCAACATGTCTACGATTGTTACCAAATATTGAACAATTTTGTGGTGAAACAACTCTTGTACCAGAAAATGTGGTGCGTCAACAATTACTTGTAGATGATGCTGTACCATCATCTGTTCATAGTTATGCATTGCAACGAAGTTCAATTTGTTCAATTACTTCAAATCTTACAGCATATCATAGACGTCAACGTCAGCGAGGTTCATCATGTTCGTTTCAGATGAATCCCAATCCACAACTACAACAAATCCCAATAAATACAGATCGTTTATCATTGGCATCAGCCACGCTATTTCAAAAACGTTCACGCTTCATAAACGGTAGTGTACAGGGAAGTTTTCAAATGGTGTCCATTGATACAGAATCGTCATCGTGTTCATCATCAATGACACATACAGGTAAATAGATTGTGAGAAGTAAATACGATCAATATATATTTCTTCTTTCGACAGGCATAACATATTCGGCTACAAATCCATTTCTTTCAACAAAAAAACACAATCGTCCATTTAAAAATTTAACAAAATCATCTGTTAGCAATGAACGTAAAGCTATGCGTGTATTATTAGTCATTTTTGCGGTATTTGTTATTTTATGGACACCATTTTTCATAATGAATCTATTATCCTGTTTTGTATCAAATATTCCGAATATCTTATTATCGATGAGTACTTGGCTAGGATACTGTTCCAGCGGTGCTAATCCGATCATTTATACGATATTTAGTCGTGCCTTTCGCCGTGCATTTTATAACATTATATTTTGTAAAAAAATTATCACACCACGCAAATCGCAATTATTCAGCCCATCGTGTAATACATTAAGTATCACGAGGAATAATAATGGAAGAAAACATTCGAATTATAGCTATACTCAGGCTGGTATTTAAAGAACGAAGCATTCCTTTTTTATTTAGCTTTTTTAAATAAAGAGATCATGGAAAATTCGCATCCGCGGCGAACTGAATTATTTTTTACTTTTTTGTTATGCAACATGTTTTCAGAGACTTGCAATGTTTATCGTTTTCTCTCACGAGTTTAGGTCACGATGCAGGTCAGATAACGATCGATTGTGAATTCTCTATTATTTTCTGACGAGTTCAGGTCATCGTATAGGTCATATTAGCTCGCGACTTGCTCTCATGCCATCCGTCTCTCATCCTCCCCTCCGATACACATCCATACAAGCTGTCCATCTGATAAAATTTCACAGTGGCAAGCAGTCATAAGTATTAAAGGCAGCAAAATATAGAGAATTCGCAAACACATCATATACACCAATACGCATTATTATCATCCATTGCGTAACGAAATGAATTTCCAACGAATGCAAATTCATTTTACAGAAAATCCAATTCTCCGCGAACGTGTATTTTCCTAGCCATGAAAATAAAAAGTGCAATAAAATTTGCATTAAAAAATGAGGACCAACTGTTACGTCCTTTAAGCGTATTTTTTTAAGCGGGATCGAATAACGTTTCGCTCATACCATGATTACTTACGTTTAAAAGAAGATAACGAAAGATTCTTAAACAAAACATAATAATTATTTATTTTTCAAAATTATACTCATTACAATGAATATAAAATAAACACATTAAAATGGGTACAAACCAGTTTAAACGCAATTTTTCTAGAAAAAATGTGATAAACGCGTCCAGTGTTGTTAATATTATTAAGAAAAGTCCATGAGCACTTCACCGTAAGATTAGGACCTGATTTTTTGACGATCAGACTAAAAAGTCAGTCTGATAACTTGGTGGCATCTTTTCATAAGTAAAATTCAAAATCTGTTTTTCAATAAGATTTTCTAGGAGGTTTTTGGAAAACCAGGTTATAAACAAAAAAGTTGAAATACAAATCTATTGATTTTTTCCTTATTTCATGGTTTTCTAAGAGTCCTGGAATCGGTTTCCAATGGTTGGAAACATCAAAAATGAATGAAACGTAGATTATCGATCATGTTGAATCTCATGGCAATGTTTGTTACCAGAACAAAACCTCAAAAACCTACTGCTAATATGTGCTGGATGATACAACACATTTTTGACTATTTTCACAAATAAATAAAAAATTCATAAGTTAGTTTAAACCGATCCAAACTACTTCAGAACATAAACATACACTTTATTTTATCTGCTCAACCTGACTCTATACTTACGATTAGTAAAAACATTCTTATTTCTAAAGGTTTCTAGAAAATCTTCTCAAAATGTAACTGCTTTTTATTCACTCCTAAAAGTTTTGTTGAACTCAAGTTACAAGGCAGATAAAATAAAGTGTATGTTTATATTCTAAAGTAGTTTGGATCGGTTTAAACTGAGGGAGCATTTCAAAATTCTTGTTATTGTATCCGATGTTGTTAAAAATTCATAACTTAAAATTATGAATTTTTTATTTATTTGTGAAAATAGTCAAAAATGTGTTGTATCATCCAGCACATATTAGCAGTAGGTTTTTGAGGTTTTGTTCTGGTAACAAACATTACCACGAGATTCAACATGATCGATAATCTACGTTTCATTCATTTTTGATGTTTCCAACCATTGGAAACCGATCTCAGGACTCTTAGGAAACCATGCCACACCTAAACGATGAAAAATGAAGAAATCGAAAGGTTCTCATTTTAAAGAGGATACTCTAGGCTATGATCTCATGGGGGAAAAAAATCAATAGATTTGTATTTCAACTTTTTTGTCTATAACCTGGTTTTCCAAAAACCTCCTAGAAAACCTTATTGAAAAACAGATTTTGAATTTTACTTATGAAAAGATGTCACCAAGTGTCCTATTTCGAATAGCGAAAACCGCTGTATCTATCTTCACTCAAAAGTTATTCAAAAAGTTTGTGATGATCCTGTGTTCTGGAAAAGATAATAATAAATAATGTAATTCTATGGTTGCTTTCCATCTGATACTGTTTTTTTGGAAAGCTGCCAATTCTGTGCAATTTTCTAAGAAAAAGCAGACAATGAACCGAGCAGTTTGTAAAAACCACAGTATACCGTTAGTTTTTCTTAACCGCTATTACGGAAAAAAGCCTTATGAAACTCATGGTTTAGTCAAAGGGGAAAAGCACTCACATGAAACTCATTTCACTTCTAGCCAAGTCAATTTGTGACATTGTTATTTCATTGGGTTTTTTATGCCTGACAAATCTATTTATTGCACCGCTCTCAGTTTTATTTACTACATGCATGTACGATGGATTAGCTATAATTAATCCGTGGTGCTTAAACTTTGCTTATCTCCACGCTAAGCAAAATATATCGGCTAACATATCTCTAATTTATTTACTCATCTCTATGTTCTTCATCTCTATTTCACTTGTTCACTTCAAAATCACTACTAATTTTTAATTTTTTTTGGAAAACCAGGTTATAGACAAAAAAGTTGAAATACAAATCTATTGATTTTTTCCTTATTTCATGGTTTCCTAAGAGTCCTGGGATCGGTTTCTAATGGTTGAAAACATCAAAAATGAATGAAACGTAGATTATCGATCATGTTGAATCTCGTGGCAATGTTTGTTACTAGAACAAAACCTCAAAAAACTCCAAGTGAAGTGGTGAAATGGTGCTTTTCCCCCCTTGGGTTTAGTACTGGTTCTGAACAGTTCAGTCTAACATGGTTTGGTAAATTTGAAGATTTACACTACGGTTACACCACGCAGATAATCACGATTATCTTTAATCGTGATTAAAAGATAATTGCGATTAAACATTTTCTAGCGTAACCGCAATTTTTTTGGATCATGATTAACAATATTTAATCACCATGAACAGAATTGTGTGTAATCGCACTAATCGCGATTTAATCGTCATAACTATAAATAGTCGGTGCGCAGGAAAGAACTCAGTTTTGTGTTGGCAAAGTTAAAATGAATACAGTAATACTTTTTAATCTGATCAATAGATTCGTTGACACCGGCTGCTAATAAATCTTCTTGTGCTTTTTTTCAGGCGTCACAATTCCGATGCCTACCCATTTCATTAGATATATTTTCATCTTTTAAGAAATTTAACAGCAAGTTTGTT